ACAAGAATAGAAGCAGCAATTAATGCCTCAGATTAAACTAGTTAAGCTTGATTTCTGGGGTTGAAATCACGTTGCAGGTAAGTCCCATATGTTTTCTGCCTGCTGTAAACACACTCCTTGCACCATTAGTGGACAGCACTTGATGCAGCTCTCTACACTCACACACATTTTTGTGATTTGCCTCTGAAAGGAGCCTCGGAACAGCTGTAGTTTTAAGTGCCGAAATGGCTTTATTTCTTTGCCTGACTACCCTCCTGTTTACAAAACAGAAAGCTGTTTTCACTGGCTATTTCTTCTGGAAAGAGCATGGAGGTTTCCCCCATCTCCTTTAAAACAGAAATAAAAATGAGCAGGGCTTAATCTCCCCTAAGTGACAGGTTCCTTGAGGCGTTTTCCAGGCAGGAGTGGTGTACAGGCTTTGGCTTTGTTCCTCCACAGGTTCTTCCATACCACCTGGTTCCAGTGTGTTCTCTTCATGGCACAGAGCAAGGAATGGGCTAAATAAGCCCTCCCTGTGTTTGCTGAGCCCCTGTCAGAGGCTGCCTCGTTCAGGCTGATGGAGAAAAGTGCTGTCAAAACCAAGGAGATGCGCAAAGCCTCTTCTTGCCTTTACCACTTTTTTTTCCTCTCCTCCATAGCCTGGGAGATAAAACTTTTTTGGAGTTAATAGTGAAGTCAGCAAATGGCCCTTCTCTGATGGAGATTGTTTCATTGTGAAAGGAAATGCTCACAGCTTGAAGAAAAAGAGCATTTTCCTTCCCTCCCGGTCGCCCCAACCTCATATTATGTAAAACCATGGTGCTGCTGTTAGCTGAGACCAGAAAGAATTCCCCTGTTGTCCTGTAGTAGCCAACCACTACAATCTGGGAGTTTAAATGTTAGAATTAAAAGGTTTAACCCTTGCCTTCTTCAGGGAGCGAATACCACTCTGTATGTTTTTCCTAAGTATGGAAAGCTCTGGGAATTCCTCGGAGAATAAGCGTAGAGACCACTGCGCCAGTCAGTCTCTTCAGAAAAAACACTGACTGACAAACATGCTCCTGTCTGCAAGAGAGATTCCTGGCATTTGTCACAGTTTGAGCCACAAAGATGTCAAATATTTGCCAGCAGTTTCCTCAGGCTGGTTTGGAAAGCTCCGTCCTTTACATTGCAGTTCTGTTTGTTTGTGGTGTATTTTAGCATATGAAATATGTTGGTCGGGAGTCTGAAAGGGGAGGGAGCTGACTAGACTCCCAAATATTAAAAGATTAAAAATAATTGTTTCTCTTAGACTGCTCAGATCAAAATAATAAAGAACAGCTGTAAGTCTTAGTATTAGAAGTGGAGTTTTCTGTTGAATAATCATAGCTTGATGTGTCATGTTTTAAACCTGTGTTTTCTTTTGGAGCAGAAAGAAGAACTTTCCAGTGGGACATCTGAATATTTTACTGAATCTGCTGAGAACAAGGAGCTTAAGATCAGTCTGAATGAACAAATAAAGCAAGACATCCTGAAAAGAATGTATGTCACTATTCTTTCTAAGCTTTTGAATTTATAATGGGTAAAATTTGGGTTGGTAGGATCTAGCTTATGTAATAAAATTTCAAATAATACAAACTGTTTTACAAAAGGTGGTTTTAAATTACCAAGAGACTACTACTCTAGTGGGGATAAGCACATAAAATGATTGTTGCAGTTTTTTACAGCATGGAGAAAGTTCTTACAACCCACATAGATATCTCACATAGCGCTGGGCAGAATCAAAACAGGCTGTTTTTTAACTTGAATGAAGCTCTGAGCCAAAATAAATATGTGATGCTTGAATCTGGTGAAAAACACTTTGCAGATATATTGTTTTGTTCATTTTGAGAAACTGGACCACTGGTCACAGTTAAAGTGACATTTTTAGACTCAAAATGCAGCCTCAGTACTTGGGCTTAAAGTTGATCTTATGACCTGTGTGAAATCTGGGTTTGTAGGTAACACACTGCCAAGGGGTGCTTATGTACTGACACTCCATCAGGTCCCTTGTGATCCCATTTTCCTGTATAATTCCTTTTAGAATATCATCTACTTGCATTAACTAAGTCCTTCCCAGATGAGCGAGCTTGATACTAGATGAGTAGTGGTTAACTCCGAAGTAAAGCTTTGAAATGTCCTGGGAAAAATTCCAGAGGAACATTCTAAAATAGAGATTAGAAGCTCTCACACAGAGACACACTCACTGCCTCTCCCTGCCAGCCCCCTCTGTCCTGTAGCTATACATTATGCATGTGGATATATGGGAATGGTTTGGAATCATTTAGGCACTTATGAAATGCTGTTTTATCAAGCCAGTTCAGAAAGGAATTCAATATACTTATACTGTGTTGACCTTTAACATCTGTAATGAATCCAGTTCTGCCTCTTGGAATAGAATGTGAACTAACTCACTCCTTCATGGCTTAGTCATTAATAAATAGGGTTCTCCCCTAGTGCAGTGGAAAATCAGATGGATAACACTTGATATTATGCACACCAGACAAACATTGCTGCTTGTCAAGATGATATACAGGGATTTTTCCCATGTTCAGAAAGAGGGTGACCCTAGTGGTGTTCCAGGGTTTGGAAGAAGGGCAAATTGAGGCAGCAAAGGTGTTTTTTTTTTTTTTATTTAAAAAACAAAATTCCTTTTTATTGCAGTGTGAAAAGGACGAAAACAAGGAAGAGTAGTACAAGCCAACCTCAAATCAGCAAGGGCTCCAAGAAAGTGTATCTTGGCTCGGTGGACTCACAGGCAGAGAACAGAAAGAGCGACTGTCAAACTGCTCTCAGTCCTCGCTCTGATGTGAAACGTCGCAGTCCAGGCCTGCTGAAGGACTGCACAAATACAGCTGGGAGCAGCTTGGAGCTTCCTGTTTTAGAGCTGGAAAATTATGTTAATCAGAGACAGGCAGATGATGTTAGCAGCCAGCAAAAACCTCACGCTCTGGAGTGGTTGGAGTCGAGTCTTCTAAGTGAGAACCCTCCTTGCAGCTCTGAGTCAGCACTGCTGGGTCCAAAACAAAGTCAAAAAGTGACCAAAACACAGGCTCAACTAAAGAGCTGTGGTTCAGAGGAGAAGTTAGAGCAATGCAAAAAAGTGTCCTCTGAAGGGACTCCTTTAATTTCTGTCCATCCAGAAATGAGTAAGTGCAATGCTGATTGCTTGGGTCCGTTCCTGGGGGAGAAACCCCCCCGTAATTCCAGGTTATTTTCTCAGCAAGACAGGGCAAAGACTGCAGCTGACAAGCAATCATTGACTTGGACAAAAGAACCCTCTCAGCCTCTTTCTGTGAGGAACAGTAGAGTGCAGACAAGCCAAAATGAGCCAAGCACAGCCACTGAGGGATTGCCTGCAATGCCATCACTGAGTCTAGAACTGCAAGCTGTGTCTTCAGAGAAGCTTCCCCAAAAAAGAAAAAAAGAAGCTGAAAATGGTCTCAGGAAGTTAAAACTTCGAAGGCTTAAGAAGTCATAAAATCTGGAGTCACCCAAATCTGTGTGTAAGCAAAAAGTAGGAAGCAATTCAAAATTATGGAAAATCATAAAAATACGAAATCAAAAATCAAAATTAGAGAAGATATTTTAAGAAATTTTAGTTAACTAAGTATGTTAGTCATTTGGAACCATAATGAGGATAATCCTTTGAAGTCTTTACAAATTAGATATTAATATTGCATGAACCAGTGTCATATTTATAGAAAGAAAAATCTCAATATTTACTAAGCAACATTTTAGTTCTGGGTATGCTTCAGTGCAATTAAAAAGTCATATCAGCTGATGACAGCAAAATAAAACCCCTTTTCTGGTCTGTTAGCAGCTGCAGTTATTCATTGCTTTGCTTGTTTCTGAACACATAGTTTATTTTACTAAAAATTAATCCTTTGTACTAGAAAGTTCATGGTTTATTCACATGATCTTTACATCAATAAGGCAAACTGAGCTTATTTCAAATAAATCTTTAACCAGAATTAATAGCTGATAATTTGAGGCCCACCTTTTCAGCCAGGTTTCAAAATAACTGCAGTTTTCTGCTTATGCAGTTTTGATATGAACATTTATTTCTAGCCCACATTGTGAGTACAAGTGATCATGCATTCAGTCTTTGGAAAAATGAAGGTTGGATTTATGTATTTAGACTTATATAGTTACACCTGGGGGTGCAAACATTGCTCTGGAGTGAAGTTCAGACATAAACATGTGGACATGCATTTATTTTTCAAAATCAGGCCCTGCTTGTGTGCAAGGACGACATTGTGGTTTTCATGTGTTAGTGATACCCCAGTTAGTCCTTACTTTAAGGTAGAGGTCATTTTTCATTCCACGGTGCCTTTTCATGCTGCTTTTTAAATTTATATGCTAATGAGCTAAGGAAACATAACTTTATTTCATGTCTGTCTTTTATAAATGTGTAAAATAAATTTATGAGCAATTTTCTTTCATGATTCTCTTAAAATCAGTGTGACCATGGACACTGAATCAGCAGTGCCCTGGTAGTCAGGAGGGGCAACCATGTCCTGGGGGGCATCAGACAAAGCATCACCGGGCAAGGAGGGGATTGTCCTGCTCTGCTCTGCACTGGGGTGGCCTCACCTTGAATATTGTGCCAGTTTTGGGCGCCACAATATAAAAAGATATTAAGCTATTAGAGAGTGTCCAAAGGAGGGTCATGACGATGGTGAAGGACCTTGAGGGGAAGTCGTGTGGGGGCGGCTGAGGGCACTTGGAGAAGAGGAGATGAGGGGAGACCTCACTGCAGTTACAACGTCCTTGTGAGGGAAGAGGAGGGACAGGCACCGATCTCTGCTCTGTGGGGACCAGGGACAGGACCTGAAACCCTATCAGGGGAGGTTTAGGATGGGTATTAAGAAAAGGTTCTTCCCCCAGAGGGTGGTTGGGCACTGGAACAGGCTCCCCCGAGAAGTGGTTGTGGGTCCCTGTCTGAGTTCAAGAAGCATTTGGACAATGCTCTCAGGCACAGAGTGGGATTCTTGGGGCTGTCTTTGATGATCCTTGTGGATCCCTTCCCACTCAGCATATTCTACGATTCTGTGATTTTATCTGAAGCAATTTAGAAAAATCTCACTGACATTTCCTTAGGACTGTGGATATCCTCATTGGGGTTAAGAAGATGATTCACATCCATGAGCATTAGAGCTGGTGGTGTAACACTGGTCCTGATGAGAGCTGGCAGCTCGGCAGTTGACAGCAAGGCACTGTTGATTGTACAGCTTCCTTCTACAAGAAATAATGTCTGCTCTTGCTGTAAAGAGAGAAAGATTCTGCATGTCTCTAGAGGATGTGTTCTCTTTTTTCTTTCAGCCGTTTGTGTGATGTTTCTTGGTGCTTTGCAGTCAGGTTGCTAATCCTTACCCAGCTTCAGGCTCTGCTAAGAGATCTTTCCTAGTAACAGCAAACCCAAGGCTGCCAAAAAACCTGGTTTGGAGGAAGAAGAGCTTGAGGTATGTTACTGTTGTCTTTTTTATGGGCTGGAGATACTGGGCCAGGAGGGGAGTAAAAAGCATCTTTTTGATGGACTTGAGAAAAGTATAAGGACATTTAATGAAGTATTTATCAGAAAAATAAGAGTAATTTAAATAGTTTGATAGTTTATATTAAGGTTTTAGCATAGATAACTCAAGTGTCAGAAACCAGAGGGCAACCACATATAGTTTTTATCATCCCATAATGTTATTAAATGTGGTTTAACCTTATAATTACAATTTATTTGTAATCTTAACTGGATAAGATACCTGCCCGCACCCTTACGAAGGAATGCCATACATTACAGGGGGTTTGGATACATCAAACTCTCTCTCAGTGCTAAGTTTCATCATTCCTGCTTGCCCTCACTGGCTCATTGGGTTCGAGGCTCTTTGGAGCTGTGTATTTAGAGCTTCATTACTTAAAAAGTTCATATCTTGGATCCTCTCAGAAATTGAGTTATTCAGGGAGAAAGCTTTGAATCAATGGTCATTTCTGGATTTTAGGTGGTGTTGCTGCTCAAAACTGTTGTTTCTGTTGTCTGTGCAACAGGACTTTTGTAACAGCCTCCCTTTTGCAAACCTGGTGGGTGCTTAGGGTGGTGCTGGGACACTCAGGCTGTGTCATTGTCATGTCTGTTATCGCTCTATTTTAAGCCCAGGGTCTCTTCTCAGACTTCACTTTTTCTTTATCAGCTGCACCCCGAGGACTGGCAGAGGTGTGGTCTGACATGCTCTTAAACCACAAACCTGATTTCCTAAATCAGATTTAGGGGGGAAAAAAGAAGCTGGAAACTGAGCTGTTTCCAAATCTTGGCTGTGGCTTTCTATCACCAGTTTGCTTCTGAGCAGCATGAGCAAACCTTTCTGTTAAAAGTAAGGAATGTTTAAGGCTCTGTTCTGTTCTGAAACTGCCACTGAAGCACAGAAACAGTATCTTTGGTTCAGTTTTTTCTCTCAAACCAGCCAGCTTTGGTGGGTTTTTATTTTTGATGAATCATCTGGTTCATTTGGTCTGTGCTCTTTGCTGATAGTGAAACAGCCCTTTCCTAGAGAAACACTTTCTATGGGTGCAGACGATTGTTTCCATTATTCTTTACATCAAAGGAGTTAAAAATATTTGTTTAGTGAACTTTTGTGTTTAAACACACATCAAAAGCTAGACCAGCCTTCTACGTAATCATTTATAAAGAGGAAGCAGCTGATGTAAAATCTCCCTTGCCCAGTGTTGATCCATAGGAAGGTTTAAAGCATCCCAAGAGTTATTATGAGCACTAAGCTTTGTGTTTATTCTGGTGTTACCTGCCAGGTAGGAACCCGAACTTTCCTTGGTGCAGAAGGTTTTGTCCAAATGAGATGTTTAGGAGCCATTTATTTGGTCAGGGAGTTCCTTCTCCCTTGCCTTGGCTGAGATTTAATTGACATTTTTATCCCATTGGCTTTTGACTGGAAAATGGATTCTTTCTAAAGAAAAAAATAACCGAGGAAATATTTTTCTGTTTGCAGTGGGAATAAGAAAGATGTAAAATATAGACTTTCCCAGATTGCATGTTATGAGTAGTTATCTCCTGGCTGTATCAGTACCAGTGAGAGGTTTTGTTCTGTATTAAACAGGCTGCAGCAAAGAGAGGCAATAACGCCAAGTCTCTTTGCCAGCAGTGGGAAGTGTGGGTTGGCCTCAGAAATTAGCTTTAATAAAAGGCACTCCTCACTTCTCTGCTTTGTGCTTTTTTTTCTTCTCTAATGAGCACTAACTGGCTTCCCCTCACCTGTGTGAAGGAGAAGATGTGGGCTGGGGGAGCAGCAGCACAGGAGCCTTTCATCAGAGGGATATCAAAGCAGCTGAACCTGGAGGGAGGAGCATGTGCTTATCCTGATGGCTGGGGTAGCACTGAGGGAAGTTTTCCAAGGTAAAGCCAGCTGGTTAAGGAACTTGTACTGCAAATTCTTGAGTCAATGCATTCAAGTGTTTCTGTCCACCTTTTTTCCCCCAGATAATTAAAATGGAACCTGATAGTGTGTGGCCTTGTCCTTTCCACAGTGGCAATAAGGTGACGTTTTTAGATGGGGACTCTTTGTTTGGTTTATGCTGAGAAATCCTGAAAGAGTTGTGGAAATGATGTAGTGTCACAGGGCATGTCAGCTGTAACCTGGAAATTGCCCAGGGAATTAACCACAACTGTCCTACCTTCTTTACTATCCACATAAATTATTCCAGAGCTGGGGATCTGTTCCTGTGGGAGCTGAAAGCGCACCTTGTGTGAGTGAGGATTTCGGTGATTTGTTCCCATTCTGTCCAAGTTAAATCCTTTTAGTACAGTAGTAGGAATTGGTGCTCTAGAGCTCCATAACTGCTTTACTTGCTGCCACCATAATTATCTTTTTTATTTATGCATCAGATCTTTAAAGAAAAGTGTCTTAAGCTCTCATTCTAGAGCTGGGCATGCCCCTTTTTAATATTAATATGATCTCACAGCTCTGGAATAAAAGGAATAGAGATTTATTTCTCCACCCTGTAGAGGAACTGGTTGAAACAATTTGCACATCACAGGGAAGGTGCTCACTGGCAGATCTGGGTTGGAGCTCTGGTCTGATGCCCATGTCTGATCCCACATGGCTCTGCTGCTGCCCCAGTGCTGGGGAAGCAGCTGCTGAACCATTCACATCCTGCACCCCTTTCCTCCTCCTCTCCCCCACAAATTGGTATTAATCATTGCATGGTTATTTTACTGTTTTCCCCTCTTTTGGGAGCAATCACTGACCTTTGCAGACAAACTCTGTGTGCACTGGCAAACAATAATCACGGTGGCCACTGAAAAAAGGGGAAGCCAAAAAGATCTTAAATATACTTAAATATTCTTGCTTCCTTTTGGAGGAGAGGGGGAGGTTACGCAATCAATTCCATCTTCTGGGGCGGAAAAGGCTGAATTTGGTACTTCCCTTGTCAGAACTTCTCATCTTTGCATGCACTCCCAAAAACATGAAGGCTCTGCCTTGTGACTCTGCAGATGGCAGGAGCAGCGCTCTGGGCCCCGGAGAGCCGGGGAGGCAGGGCTGGATTCAGCCTTAGGGCTGGGGATAGGGAACAGAGTCAGGAATCCTGAAGGATCCAACAAGAGCATAACCTTGTACCTTTTCTAGCTTGGCAGGGAGCCGGTTAATAACCTGAACTCTTGGTGTGCAGGTGCTGTGTCTGTGGAAGGGAAAATGGCTTCATCAGTGCCATGGCTTGAAGGTGCAGGGCTCGTGTTTGGGGCCCAAACTAGTTCACATTTGAGGCTTCAGGTGTCCCAGTGCTCTTGGCTGCCCTTGGCTCCTGTTAGTAGTGCAGAGGGAGCCGTTCCCAAGGCTGGTGTTCCCCTGGTGACAGGAATATATTGGCATTCAGGCTGATGTAACATGCACCATCAGCACCTTTCCCAGTTACCTCTACGTAAGACAGGCCCTTTCCATGCGGAGGTGCAGAGCTTTGATGTGGCCGTGCTTGAGCTGAACCAAACCCAGATCTGGCACATCCAATTAGCTGTAGGTAGAGCAAAGCTGAGAGTGCTAAGGGGTGTAATTTTATTTTATTTAATTTATTTTATTTTAGTGCCTGTGTTTAACTGGCAGCTCAGGAAAGATGTATTTTTCAGTCCTTAGATGAAGAAGAGTTCAAAGAACAAACACACAGTAGCACTGGGAAATTTCTCCTGACTAGACAGAATGTGTCTTCCCTGAGTAGTAAAGTATGAACTGGCAAAGAATGATTTCCACAAAAATAAATGTGCCTTGGTATTCTAACGGGGAAGCCTTAAACTTCATGTTTCTATTTATTTTCATGGCAACGGAAACCACTTCCTAGACCAGCCCCCAGTGTGGTGGTGGATCTGGCCTTTGGAGGATTGGTTTTGTTTTACATTCACCAATGCAAGTTTTGGAGCTACCATTGAGATATGAGGATTAATTAACAAATACCATTATGGCATTTGCACAGAATTTTCTTCCCTCCCTGTGTACAACTCGTGCAGTTCTAATTTTCTAACACCATGAGGTAGCAATGAAATGAGCTCTGTGGGAAAAGCAAGTTGTGTGTGGAGGAGCTCTGCGGTAACAAACCCTCTGCCTGGTCCATAGAGCACTTTGGAGCACAGGAAAGGCTGGAAGTAAATAAATGAATGCTGTGCTCAGGGCTCTGACTTATTTTGAAGCTTGAGGAACTCAGGTTTTTCTTTCACTGAGTCTTCAGAGACCTAAACAGCTTTGTCACTATGTGCAACGATTAAGTCTGTAATTAGAATTTGCCTCAGTAGGTTTTGAAGAAGCCTGGCAAATGGAGGTTCCAAGGAATTGCAAATGCTCTATTTTTTAAATTATTTTTTTGCTTAATGGAAGACAGATTCAAATTCCTACCAATTCAGGTATGTTTCAGCCATTTGGAAGGAGGTAGTTGTTTCTGTATCATTGAATTTGAGACCCACACGAACAGCAGACATCAGGGTGATGGTTAATTCAACATTAAAAGCATGGGAAAGCATTCAGGGAATAGCCTGGCTTTGCACTTTGGAGGCAGGTGGAAGATTCTATCATCTTTAAGTGGCTTTTTTTGGACACGCCGTGTTTGCTTTGCTGCGGATTTAGAAGCCAGGGAACAAAGGGAAATAAATACTCGTGGGATTTGTTTGATGGGGAATTATTGAAGTGGTCAGATGAAGCTAATCTCATTGACTTCCCATTTAGCAGGCACTACACTGACAAGGCTCCAGGCATGTGATTGGGAAGAGTAAGAGCAGCCCCCCCCAAAGTAGCACAGCCACGGTGGAAACCTCCTTCTGAAGTGAGTTTAAAATAAAAAGTAACACTAATTAGATTTTATCATTTTTTTTTTAGACAGCTGTGAAGAAGGTACATAACAAAGTATTTCTCACCGTCAGATTTTGTCAGCGTTCATTGTATTCATATTGCAGCAACCTTTATAGAAAATATCTATTTATTTACCACAGACAAATACGGATGCAAAGGCCTAACCTTGCAGTGGGTTGGTTTAACTCTTTTTCAATTAATTTGTTACACATTGTTCCCTCAGCTTTTAGCCCCTTCCCAAAACAACTTTGCAGCTTCATCAGAACATGCCAAAATCAGAGCAGACCATGAGCCAGCCAACCCCTGCACCTCCCCAGGCGTCCCCTTTGGGTGGGAGGGGCAGCATTAGTTCAGCATTCAAAGCCATCGTGTTGAATATTTTAAGAGTTTATTTTATGCTTTACAAAGCACTTTTTGCCCATCAGAAATCAGCAGGATCTATGGATCCCTTCCCATCCAGGTCAGCACTTTGGATCTTGCCTAGCTACTTAGATTTGGTTACATCTGGGGGCAGCTCATTGGCCCAAGCAGAGTAAACTCGTTGCACAATTCCAGTCACACCATCATCCTCTCGGGAATACACAGAGGGACATTGGCCAAGAGACAGTGAGAACGAGGGACACGCTGCTTTCAAACCCCTTCAATCCCATTGGGAGCCAGAGGGGAACATGTAATCATCTCACAAAAAACTGACTCCACCAAAGGCAGGGGCAGGTCTTGGAAAATCTACAGCAGCACCTGCCCCTGGATTTGCACAACTGAGTGGCTGGGAGCACCTCCAAGCTCAATAATCTCCACGCTCTTTTATGTTTTCATACAAAAAATTTAATAAATATTACTTTTCAAGATTTATTGCCAGGAACAACACATCAAAGATGCATTTTCATATAACACTAATATCACAATACAAGGTATCTTCATGATCTCAATGGTTAACCACCGAGATGACTATGTTTATAAGCCTTTTGATCTTAAACATCGTAATAGCACTTTGATTTCCTCACTTGTTAAGGCGGGCAGTGTAATCTATGGCAAACCTACACAGTGATCTTACTGGACATTCTACTGTTCAAGTATTCAACAACTAGCTTATTAGAATACTCCCTAAATGCAGTAGATTACAAAAAAAAGTCAAATCTACAAGTGGTTCAGTATTACATATTTCATGGTGAGAAAAAAAATAATTAGAATTTACAAAATAAGATTGCTGTGTTTCCAACTTCACACGCTAATTTGATATTTTTAATTACATGCAACCACTCACATTTCATCTACAAAAAGTAATAGCTCAGTTTTGTTCCCTTAAACTGCTCCTTAGCAGATTATCTGCCTGTCACTCGGTTTTCAAGTCTAAAGCAGCAAAAAAAATTTTCTAGTCTAATTCTCTAAACTGCCTCAGTCAGTACTTACAAAGAGTCTTAAAGTGATACTATGGAAGGTGTTTCAAACGTTTGACATTGTACAAAAACCAGCATCAAGGCATGAAAGCCCATCCTATTAAAAATAAACTATTTTAGAACACCTTAGTTTTGGCATATAGGCAACATGTAACAAGAAAATAAATTCAAAATAAAGAAGCCACGAGCTTACAATGCTATCAAAAACCTTCAACTCTAAACACATACATATAAATAAAAAGGAATGATATTTTAAGGCTCTTGATTATTAAGTTAATAAATCAAATATACACAGTGATTAATAAAAAAAGAATTATTTACATATCTATACAAACTTCTATTTTTGACACATTTTCCTCTTTAAATTCTTCATTTACCAGCAACTGCTGACAAGTTCCCCCCACCCACCCCCAACAAAAATACAATAAAAAAATAAATAATAAACTTATTTTTGATAGTTGCTGTGGTTCCGAGCTGCAAAGGCACTTTCAAATACAGAACTAGTTGTACGTCACCATAAAACCAATATACAAAAAACTCAAATTCAATAAATATAAATAAAATGTATTATTCTAAAGAAACTGTAAAAATCGGAACATCTGGCAGAAAAAGAAAAAAAAAAATGAACACTAAGGAAGAGTAATAAGGCTATGTAATACCTTATGGAACGTTTCCATGATGGATCAGCTGCAGCTGAATTTACAGGAGGGCACTTTTGACTAGTTTTGCATAGATGTGAAATGCAGCACTTGGTATTCCAGCCAACCACAGCAACTATCATTGCCAGTGTAAGCCAGCTTGTCCAAACTTAAATTAACACAGGGATTCTAAGTAAATAATAGCCTTAGACTCAAATATTACACAACAGTTTAAGAACTACAAGCTCTTGAGTGCCTTTATAATGATACTTAAAGGCCCTGCATGGCAGCACCCCACCGTCTGCTATACGATGTACTCCATCCGATTTAGGCTTTGTGCACTTTCCAAGTCTCTGTTGTCCTGTTTATTTGTCCAGTTTGGGTGTTTTGTAGGGGTGCTGTTGGGGGGCTTTTCATCTCTGTCTACCAAAGTGTAGGCTGGCTGCTTGGCAAATCGGGCCTTCTGCTGGTGCTTGTCCATGTCGTCCTCCTCCACCTCGGAGTTGTGTGTCCTTATTTTGGCGATTTTGGAGTTTTTGTTTTCGTAGTCTTTAATGGGGACAGTGTTTGCTCCGTGTTTCTCAATGGGGTTTTTGATCTGGTTCAGCTGCTCCCTCACATTGTTGGTGGTGTTGTCGTCAGAGGCCGTGTGAGTGTGGCTGCTCTGCTTTCGGCGCTTCCGGATGCACCAGTAAAACACAGTGACCAGGCAACAGATCCAGGCTACTGTCAGGACCGAGCTCAGCAACGGCACCAGGAAATCTGGAAGAGACAGGAGAGCAGTCAGTCCTGCTGTGAACCAAGGGGGCCAACTCCAGGCTTTCTACAAAGAAAACCAATCTCAGTTCTTAAGCCTTGTTTTTTCACTTATTTCTCCACGAGGAGAGCGGCAGCCGCTTTACCAGGTTAGGCCACTGCTTTAGAGCGTTTTCAAAACCTTTGTGGTTTTCCTAAGTAAAAAGATCCTGGTGCAAAGCCGCCCCATTGTTCCCAGTGAACAGGGCCAAGGAGCAGAGATTCCAGAGTGCTGTTCTAGTCAGGGCAAGGGTACAGGAGTCTGGGGACAAGGACCAGCTCACCTGTTTTGCTCTTCACCGGCCGCCGCTGCACCCTGACTTCAGCCACCGCCGCGATGAGGGTGTTGTTCCCGTCGCGCTTACTGACCAGGTCGATGATCTTATCTGTGATGTCCTTGATGGGGTTTTCATCTTCCCCGATATCTTCTGCAGACTGCAGGACAAGGCACACAATTAACACCAAATGCCACAGCAGATGCACGGGGGAATCTGCTGTTTATAAACTTCCACAGTCACTTAAGGCTCTTCGTGCTTTTAACACATAAGAAAATCCAACCAAAAAGGCTGGCTATGGGCAGAAACTAATATTGCATATTTTTTGTCCCCATCCCTACAGAGACCAAAAATCCCCCCCCAGAAAGCAAGAATGGAGCACAGAAATGTTTTACTCCCCCTATTACAGTTGCCCCCAGATGGCAGCTCTCAGGTATGCACATGTAACCAGGATTCCTTCCCTGTTCTTAGAGGGAATCAGGATGGAAACTAAACCACAAGAAGTGCTGACAAAGCCAGGAATTAAGATTTTTATGAAATCCACATGTTGCACACATATCCAGACAATTAACTACTGAGACATTCAAAAATATTCCAGGAATACTTACAATAGCAACATGGATTTCATTATTTGCCAAGTGGGAAGGCTCACAGGTAATATAGATGGAATATTCAACAGAAACATTCTTCAGAATATTCAGATTCCTCAATTCACTGCAAACATGCTCTGTGGTAAGGCCCTGGAGGACGAAAAAAAGGTGTTGGGTTTTTTAAATATATATGCACACAAACACACAGATATAAGATTTGTTTGGGGTTTTTTTTCCTGCCCTGAAGTAAGAGTTCTCAAGGGAAAAGGATGTGGAATTCCCTCAAAACCAGCTTTTGTTCTTCCCTAGACACAAAAGCATTTATGGTGGAAGGCTGTATTAATCCTTCTCTGCTTTCTGTTTACTTTGATAAAAAGACAGTGCCAGCTTTTACTGTGCTTTTCCCTATGACAAAAGTCATTCCAAGCTCCAGGAAGCAAATCCACACGTGCCGCAGCACAGCGAGCTGCTGCTACTCACCGGTGACATCATTTCTTTGTTGAAGGTGAAGGTGATGTTGGCACAGTTGTCCTGGTAGTAAGAATCTGAGTTGCATTTGGTCCTCACAGGCTGCTGGTTGGAGGGCCAGCACTCGCCCACCGCGGCACACGGGTGGGTGAAGCAGTGGTCGTCCCGCACGGGGACACAGGCGTGGCCGGCGGGGCACTCGCTGTGACCTTTGCCGTGCAGGACGCAGGGCCGAGGGCCACACCACACCTAGGAGAGAAGAAAGGCTGGTAAGAACCCACTGGTTAGAGGACAGAAAACAGTTTAACCCAAAGCACAGCCCAGCTGTACCTTCGAACAGGTGACTTTCCCATTCAGACACTGGCAGGTATTGCAGTCGTCGTCCCACTTCGCCCCATCTGGCATTACTCGAACGCTGGTAATGCAAGGCCTTCCTGTAACTGAAGAGTGAACAGAATTAGAAGCTTAAAACAGGGAAAAAGTGAAAAAAACCCCCAAAAACCAAAATCCAAACAAACACCAACCCTACCAAACCCTTTCCTAAGTTCACCTAAGCTTATCACTAAGTTTGCTTCTTCAATAAAGGTATTCGCTTTAAACAACAACAGGTAACAGCCCCCAAAAAACAACCCCATAGAACCACAAAACCATCAAGATGCAATTACACAGATCTTGCTACAAACATTAGGACCAGCTCTGGCATCTGGAATACCTTCTTGGCATCCTGGACCACTGCGACCCGGGGGGCAAATGCAACGGTACCCATTAATTTCATCCACACACGTAGCTCCAAAGGCGCAGGGCGAGGACTGGCACTCGTTGATATCTGTGATGGGAAGGAGAGGAAATAGCATCCTTTTGTTTGGGTAGAAAAAAAGCAAACATAGGATATATTTGCCTACTGGAGCTTTTATCTTCATTTTCTAGCGTCTGCTGGGAGATGGATTCCTGCTGGCAGCACCGGTATAACCTCAAAACAAGTCCTTTGACATTTCTGCTGTGTGGCACTAGCAAACATCAAAACCTGACCCCTGTGGCTACTTGAGCTTTCCAAGGGCAAGGACACATTCCTTCTCACACGGGCACACTTCCTCTCCTCTGATGTTCTCCAGTTTTGTCCCCCACTAGGTTCTTCAACTGATGACAATGTTAAACCCCTTCCCAGTTGTATTGCTGCTGTGAGACTTCCATTTCCATGGCTGTTATTAAAAAAGTGTTAGTGTCCTCCTACCTGTAATTATTATTAAATTACAGGGAAGCACATACATCACCTCAGGGCTTGGAGGTGGATTATTAATTGACAAGGTTTTTGGCTGGCACACTTTCATCTCAAGCAGAAGCCTGGGTCACACAAACGCATATGAACTGGGAAAACTATCCTGAAGGCATTTTGACTGCTCATCTGAACCAAGAAGTTTCAGCTCCAGTTGAGTGACTTCAAATTTCTTTCATTTTCAGTGTGATTCCTGCCCTCCCCAAATTTGCTACGGATAGAGAAGACACGGGACATCTGCAGGACGCCTATCACTCATCTGATCTACCACTTAACCTAATTAAGATGATTGTCTTGCAACAAGATTCAAGTGAGACAAAAATCGAGGTGGAGCACCATTGGAACACTTACTGATCCTGCAGTCGGGCCCTGCGAAGCCTGGAGCACACTCACAGCGGTACCAGTTCTCTCCATCCACACAAGTGCCACTGTTGTAACTGTAGAGAAAAGTCATTGCAGAGGTTAAAGACACTGCTACAAAGAATCCAGAATTCTAAAACAACAACAACAAAAAAGCCAAGGATAAACACAGCAAACTTACCAAGGATGAGGACTGCAGTCGTTTGTGTCTGCAAAGCAAAGACAGGCAGCATTAAACATGCAGGCTTTGGCTAATACAGCTCTACTGGCAGTACAGAATGATCAAACTTCCCCTAATGCCCAAGTTATACTTAGCTCAACTTTTACAAAAATATGCTGAAATTCTCTACTAAATTGATTCCAGGCTTCTACCACAAAATTTGTTAACTACATTATGGAACACATGTACACAGGAAGAGATCCTTGTAAAGAATCTAATGGGGGGGAAAGAAAAAGTGGAAGCAGACAGAGCTGCTCGTAGAAAAAGAATGCAGGAGAAAACAAGACAACATCTGTCTCCACTTAGCTGATTTGCAACTTTCTCATGCCCAGGTCAAGGCTCTATCACACAAAGTCATTAAAAACAAAGATTCAGGTGATGCTAAAGCCTACATCAAACAAGCTTTCCCTTCTGGTTTCAATCTTGACTCCAAGGGCGACAGGATGAGCTCATGTTCTCATCAGGCAACACTCTGGAAAAGTTCAAGCAGAGCCAACTTACTCTGGGTACATGTGGGTCCTTCCCAGCCCTCCTTGCAGACACAAGTGAAAGAGTCCCCACTGACCACACAGGTACCACCGTTGTGGCAGGGGTTTGGCAGGCAGCTGCTGTTCCTCGCTGGAACACAAACAACATTCGCCGCTAAGTTGTTAGAAAGCCCTCGAATGTGAGCCAAGAGGAAAAACTGAGGTCACAGATCCACTGCTGCATCTGCTTCCTGGCGATTATGCAGGGTATTTACCTATGTTACAAGTGGCTCCTTCCCATCCTGCAGGACACATGCACTTGAAAGTGTCCCCCTCGTCGTAACACGTCCCGCCGTTGTTGCACGTCGCCTCATCGCACTGGCTGTCGCCTGTGAGAAACCCAAACCATCCTTAAGACCGGTGCTCTTTGCAAGTTCAAGCGGCCAATCAGAGCACGCCTGTTACGTTTTGGAAATGCTGAACTTACGGGAGTGGCAAGTTTTTCCTTTCCACCCATTTTTACATTCACAGAAGAAGTCGTTGACCAAGTCTCGGCAAGTTCCTCCATTGTGGCAGGGGTTTTTACTGCAGTCATTAATATCTGGATAAGTTAAAGAGAGAAAGCCGGCTCAGGGGTGTTTACAGAATTGACAAACAATGCTTGAAAGGAGCATAACCTATCCCTAATTTTGGCCTGTGTTTCAATCCTGGATTAAACACTTAAGTCAGTATTTTAAAGCTTTAAGCCCTGTCACAGAGATGAAGAATGTTTCAACACATTCCTGCTGTTTGTTTTCATTTTGTTTGTAATCTTGTTTCAGTAAACAAGCAGTGAAAAGGCCTATTACATAAACTCCCCTGTTAGGGAGGGGATGGGAGCAGAGTGCTTGTTCGTCCTCTGCTCCAGAGATCGACAAAATACAGGTGTGATATACAGGCCATTCCTAAAGTGGCAGCTACTAATGCAAAGGGTTTCTTCCTGAACGTTATCCAAAGGATAGAGCAGGAAACTGAACCATGGGAGGGCCAGGTTCTACTCCCAGTCCAGATTTTTAACTTGGGTTTAGTTCCGATACAAAATCTTTGACTTGGTGGAAAGTAGAGGACACTTGGTCCCCAATGGCCTTTGAAGCAGTTTATTGGCACTGGTCATGTTTGTCTCCAGGACAGCACCCGCCATACCTCCCCAATGTTTTCCCAAGAGATCTTTCTGTGTGCTGAAGAATGGATAACTTACTCGTTTCACAATATGTTCCTTCCCATCCATCACTGCA